CCGAAAGGCTAACTCCTCTTCTTCCAAAAAGCTAAGTTCTCACCTTTTAGAAACTAAAAGCTCTCACTTTCTAGTTTCCATTTTTTATGAACTCAAAGACTATGCAGGAAGTTGATGGCCAACAGACTAAGCAGCTCTACCAACTTTATTTCAACTCGGATAAAACCTCATCAGTCCTCTTCGCGAGGTACCCTCTACAAAGATGAGCTCTTCGTGGCTTCCGCGTGAGTAGGCGGTCAACAGACTGCATGGACGCCCCTGCCGGTCAAGCCTTCCAAGGCTCCCGTGCGAGCTGGTGACCTAAAGTCAGTAGTGTTGCCCCCGTAGGTAGAGCTCCTAGTAGCTTCTTGTAGGAGTGGGTAACCGACGTCACTAATGAGGATGATGCAGCGCAGCCGTAGCTCTAAGGCGCGACCTGGTGGCCTGGCACAGGCACGACCTAGCGGCCTAGCCCAAGCGCGACTTGGCGGCCCGGCCCAAGCGCGAAGTGCTGAGTTGATAAAAGACATCGGCACTACGATAAGTCCCAATCGCCTCTTCGGCATGGGCAAAATCAAAGATCAAGGAGAGTGGACTACAAGTTGCTCCCAAAGCCTAAGGGCTAAAGTGCCGAACTGACAAAGACTTCGGTACCACATAAGATCCAATCGCCTCTTCGGCATGGGCGAAATCAAAGATCAAGGAGAGTGGACTACGAGTTGCTCCCAGAGCCCAAGGGCTAAGGTGCTGAGCTGATAAAAGACCTCGGCACCACATAAGTCACAATCGCCTCTTCGGCATGGGCACATAAGTCCCAGTTGCCTCCTCGGCATGGGCACATAAGTCGTAATCGCCTCCTTGGCATGGGCACATAAGTCCTAATCGCCTCCTCGGCATGGACACATAAAACCCAGTCGCCTCCTCGGCATGGGCATACAAGTCCCAGTCGCCTCCTTGGCATGGCCATACAAGTCCCAGTCGCCTCCTCGGCATGGGCACATAAGACCCAGTCGCCTCTTCGGCATAGGCAAAATCAAGGGTAAGGAGAGTGGAATACGAGTCACTCCCAGAGCCTAAGGAATTGAATCGACACTTACGAGCTCATCGAATTAGTCATTTCAGGCCAAAATGAGCAATCTACTCCCTTCACCGAGTTACTTTCAGCTCGGGAGTGGGGGCAAATGATGAGGGCGGATTTGGCCCTCTAATGATATTGTGACACATGCCACCTCAGAACAACTAGGTGACACCCGGAACCACTTTGGCAACAACTTGCCTTAAGCAAGTTGATGGTGTCCCACTTGGCAGCCTGATACAGGCGCGCGCGACCTGGCGGCCTGGCCCTGGTTGAACTGGCAGCCTGGCACAAGTGCGAACTGGCAGCCTGGCGACCTGGCCCTGGCACAACCTGGCCCTAGCACAACTTGGCCCTAGCGCGAACTGGCCTAGCACAGGCGCGAGTTGGCGGCCTGGCCCTGGCGCGAGCTGGCAGCCTGGCCCTAGCGCGACCTGGCGGCCTGGCCCTGGTTGAACTGGCAGCCTGGCACAAGTGCGAACTGGCAGCCTGGCGACCTGGCCCTGGCACAACCTGGCCCTAGCACAACTTGGCCCTAGCGCGAACTGGCCTAGCACAGGCGCGAGTTGGCGGCCTGGCCCTGGCGCGAACTGATGGCCTGGCCTTGGCGCGACCTGGTGGCCTGGTCCAGGTGCCGACCTGGCGGCCTGGCACAGGCTCCGACCTGGCGACCTGCGAGACGTGCTTTGCGACAAATTCGGCATGCATATCCAAACACTCCCACGATCCTTGGAAGTTGGCCCACATGCCGAACGATCCGGAGGGTGGTCAATGTGCATGGCGGTTACCTTAGCGAATCTCGGACCACTTAGACGAATTCTCAGAAATCTCTGATATGGTGTGTGAAGCCCACACCAAACAATGCCTATATAAAGGCACCAACCCCAATGACATGGGGGGCAAGTAAGCATATTCTAGCTCTCATACTTTGTTATTTTTAGCTCGCAGTCTAGTATGAGAGTACTGACTTAAATATCGGAGCGACCTCGCCGGGTTAGCCACCCCGGGTCCTCTGACATTGGTTCCTCGCAGGTCTCTAAAGAATGACGAAGCTCAACAATCAATCCAGCTCGGCACCTAATAGGCAGCTCGACACTCTAGTAAGCTCGGCACCTAACCTGCCTAGCTCGGCCCAGTCAGTTCAGCATCTAACCTGCCCAGCTCAGCCCAGTTAACTCGACACCTAATCTGCCCCTAGCTCAGACCAAATGACGAGATACTTAGCACAAAAAATTGATACATCACCAAAAAATTGATTCATCAATATGGATTACCTGCTCAACTATTTACACCACATGGCAATAAAAAAAGTTAATAAACAGGTCAAAGGGTCAATGCGCCAATCTTCCTAGTTGGGTTGTTGATAAAATCAACATTCTTTGTAATTCCAAGTCTCCTGTCCACCCTCAATCTACCAAACTCAAGGAGAAGGATAATCGGTATTCCCATGAAAGCAAGCTGAAGTGCAAGGGTCACACATCCATCACCATCTTCATCATCCCCTAATTGTCTTTGGCATTATCGTTTTCATTGTTGTTGCTATTTCTTATTAAAATACAACTAATTTCTTTTCTTGCTTTTGAGAAGAAAGAATCTCATTAGTAATCAAGAACAGATAATCAATTGCAGGGTTGCAATCAAGCAATCCCACAATTGATCACTTCTAAACCTTGCCAAGAACTTCCAAGTTACCAAGCATCCTGCATCACATCCCGACCTTGTATTGGGAACATTTCCCCAAGATGAATATGGATGTGCTGTGGTGCATTATGGGGCCATGCTGATGTGAAGTCGTTTGGAACGGCCATCACCCAATGTTGGTCGAGATATCTGGGCAAGAAAGGGGAGCAATGCACACGGATTCTCATTCTTGTCAGCTTGAGTTTTACAACTGTACCAAGAAATGCTTGAAAACACAGCTATTCATCCAAGACACTTCCAAAACCGGACACAAAAGAGCCTCTTTAGGCTTAATTTGGATGCAGTACAAACGCAAATATGTAGATTGTAAAACCTTATACTGCACCACAGCATTGGGAGATGGCTCAATGCAGTGATAAAAACTCAAGCTGACAAGAATGAGAATCCGTATGCATTGCACTCCTCTCGAGCCCAGATATTTCGACCAACATTGGGTGACGACCCTTCCAAGCGACTTCACATCAGCGCCGCCCCATACTGCACCACAGCACATCATCACTCGTTTTGGGCAGATCCCAGAAAGAATTCTCACTGGTGTTTCATGCCCCTTGAACTTTGATGCTCTTCTGAATCTTGTCCAACACTTCAAGCGACCTCCGCTTCTAGATACATCTACATATTAATTCCGAGGAATTCATCTGGTTCAATCCGTTTCGTTTAACTTCAGACTTATAGGTTCTTCCTCGGTTCTTCTATGCGTTGAATGCTTTTGTATAGGGCTGTTCACAAATAAATTCAAATCGATCAATCCGACTCTATCCAATCCGAGTTGGCTGGTTTTTTTTCACTATTGGTCAGTTTTGAGTTATAACGATAAATAAATCGATAATTCGGTTTGGTTTCGGTTTTTATATGTGAAAATAGAAATCGAACCGAGTTATGTAAAAAAATATATATTTTGAAAAATCTGTTAAATATAGCTATTTTAGTTTTAAATAATAAATATATATCTAAAAAAATATATATTCTGAAATATATCAGATATATATTTTCGAAATATATATTTCTAGAGATTAGAAAATATATATTTTGATATATTTGTATATATGTTTTGATTTTAAATATATATTTCTAGAAAATATATTTTGAAATATTATATATAATATTAACACTTTAACTTCATGTGCATTGTGCAAGCTTAGAATTGGTTGAAACCCAAACCGACCAGGTTGATTTTACTTAATAGAGGGTTGGTTTTGATTTGATCTATAGGTAATCCGACTAGGGCGGGTCAATTGAAAAAACATTAATAAACTGACCCAACCCAACCCGTGAACAACCCTACTTCTATATTTTGTTGGGATGCCTACCAGTCCTTTGGTAATGATTTTATTCCTAATTTTGACATCCACACATAGTAAGCAAGCTGACTGAAGAACTTGCAGGTTGTGTGGAAACATTGAAAGAGGAGAACAGTACAAATATAGAAGAGTTGGAAGCGTTTACAAGAGGAATGTGAGAAATTAGCATAAAATGCCTCTAGAAACTTAAGAAACATCGGGGACAAAAGTTTGGAGTAGATGACCTTGATGACAATCCTGATGCTAAACGTTTAAAGGCACCAAATCAAGAACCACCTTGTTAAAAGCGAACTGTATCAGATTCTAAATTCTGATTCATCTATGGATGTGGAAAAACAAGTCACAGCCAAACGGCCCAGACCAGATGGCCAGTGAAAACTTTAACAAAGGGTAAAATTGTAGTTTAATAACATCCCTTAATCTATCTAACGCCAAATTAATTACTTGGTGGTTTTTAGACGTTTTAAAAAGTTATGGTGAGTTTTGGTTATGGTAAGTTTAAGAGAAATGCCCAAAAAATTAATGGTGAGTTTTAGACAATTTGCCATGAATCCTTTTGAAGCAGAAAATAGAAAATTCTTTCCCCCAAGGACAAAGCAACTTTATTTTTTGATAAGCTCAAGGACAAAGCAACTTAGTACTTGAATCTGCTGCATTCTGGACTTCCAAAATAAAGATCCATGGAATAATAACACGTAAATAAAAGGGAGCGAGACTGGGATGTGTTGTGAGGTGATCTCAGTGAGGAGCAGATGCAGACTCAGAAAAAAGAAATTCGAGTATACAAACTTTTTTTATTTATCGGTTTATGGAATCTACAAATAACTTAACTAATAATATTATTGTTGCACAATCACCTGATTGGAGTATATAAACTATTTTTATTTATCAGTTCATTGGAATCCTACCATTAACTTATAACATTATTGTTCCAAATCACCTGATGACCTGAATAATTTTATATGCAAATAGTATAATTTTCTGCACAACTCACTCAACATCTGCATTATAAATGAAATCAAAAGCACCAAACACACGTACCCTCTCATTCAGTGACAATAATGGCCAAACCAGCAATTCCCCCTCATACCTCCCCACTCTTCTTCCCCATCACCTCTGCTATGGATCCACCAGAGCAAATTGGAAAGTGAGTTTCCATCATCAAATTTATTCAAACGTCTAATCTTCTCCAAGGCCCCATCCTTGTTGTACAGTCCTTCCATTGCATACACAAATCCCTTCCACCCTTCTCCAACCCCTTCCCTCTCCAGAGCCGGCATTGTCCATTGTACGAGATCTCTTACATGTCCAATATCAGAAAACAAAACCTCTGTTATTGGCAACAATGGCAGCACCTGAATTCCCAGCCTACATTCCTTCCAATCAGGTGGAGCAAACCAAAGTCCACTGTCCCTCTTGTTTGCCCACAGAACTCCCACCACCCTGTTCTCCCTTGTGAACTCTGCCTCGTACATATCATCTCCCTCTCGTACATGCCACCAAGTCTGAGACGATTGAATCTCCAAAGTAGCCAGCGTCGAACCGATGGATACAAGTTGCGAATCTCCATAGCTCAGACCCATAAGTGCCGCTGAGTAATAAGCGTTGATTGCTTCGCTTGTACTTTCCTGATTCCGCCCGTCTGCAAATTCAGTGAGTCCACCCGCCCAAGAGTGCAATTTCCACAGATCAAAATTCCTCAGACGCGGATAATACGAACCTTCTCGCCTGCCCAGAGTCATGAAATCCGCCATAAGCGAATACGCCTGAGGCCTATACTTCCTCCCCCATGCTGGGTCAATCTTAGCAAGCACTGCAATGGCATAAAGAAAGTAGCCCAGATGGTAATGGTGATCATTGTATACTCCGAACCCAAAATCTGCCCCAGAATCTACTGACCCTTGTTTGGTGACAATTCCTCCCCATTTGGGATCGTAAAAGAACCCATTTCCATTGAAACTCCCCTCTAACCATGGCTCAATTGTCTCCTTCAAGTACTTCCGAACCGCTGGAATCACATCGGGACAACACACCTCTTCCGCTATCAATGCCAATCTGGCTGCTCTAGCAATCAACTTTCCATAGAAGTAAGACGAAGATGTCGTTGTCTTCGTCGAATCCAGACCCTTGACGTCCTTGACAAGCGCAGAAACAATTTCAGGATAGTATTCTTCGCTGATCCCATTAATCGAATGCCAAGTTACTGAAACTTGACTCGGTCTCAAGACCCACGAATCGCCAACGACACCGACAAGGTCGCCATCTATGCTTTTGTACTTGAAATCCTTCAAAACAGTGACATTTCCATCGTCAACCGATAAGAGCTGTTGATGGAGAGGGTGGGCAAGTAGGAGCAGCTCTCCCCATCCTTTCTTCTCCCATTTGTACTCCACACAGAAGGGTTTAGTGAATACCGCATCGCCAGAGGTTGGGTAACAAGTGCTGAACCTATCAAGGATTGTTTCAAAACGTGGGTCAGAATCCGGCAAGATCGCAAATCTGATTACGCCGGAGAATGGATCGGAAGTAAGAAGAGATATGCTATGCGTTAGGTTAATGGGCGAAGAAGAGTAGCAAAGCCATGTCTGATTGTTGTTGAGCCGAATGATGTGCTTTGTTTGATTGCCATTGGATGTGAGGGAGAGGATAGCGTGGATGGTTGAGATGGAAAGTGGGGTAGGGCTGGTAACGGAGCAGGTCAAGAAAGGGCTTCCCCGGACAAGGAAGAAGCGCAGGTTGCCAGGGACATCTAGGGTTACACTGAGATCACTATATGAAGAAACGATGTTGTTGACATCGGTGCCGTTGTTGGTGTTTCGGGTGGCTGAGATGGTGAGGTCGGCGTTGAATATCTGGTAGATGAAAGCAGAGTTACTGAAGCGAGGTGGGTAGCAGATAGAAAGGGAGGAGAGGGCTGATTTGATGAGGTATGGGTGTATGTATTCAGGTTGGTCGCCATGTTTGAGGACGAAATTCTGGAAGAATGAATTGGTGGGGAGAGGTGATGATAGAAGGTTGGGAGAGAAGAAAGGTGAAGGATCAGGGAGAACCGTTGATTGGGTCTTGGGGAAAAGGAAAGGAGTGGTGGAGGGTTTATGGTGCCTGTGTGGCATGGTTGAGGGCGTCAATTCTTGAGGAGGAGGAGGAGGAGGAGGGAGATCCGGTTGTTGTTGGGGTGTCGAGGGTCTGCGGCGTTTCTTGATTCTGAAGCATTTTATAATCAGAGCTGTGACTCTTCGCTTGACCTTTTTCAACATTTTCCTTGGTGAGGTGGGAGCAGGTGGAGCCGCGTGAGAACTCGGTGGTTGAACCTTCAACCTCGAACCAGTGTTGACTCTGTGAAGCCTGAAGCGCAATCAATCAATGAGTTGAAACTTAATAGGGAAGGAGGAAGACCGAAGACGTTTGGCAATGGGCAACAGTCGATAGGAGGGGTTGATGGATGAAGGAAGGTGCTGAGAAGAGGAGGTGTTTGAGAAATGAGTCTTGGGTATCAATGGATTTTGTTTTTGAGGCAAGGGAATGTAATATTCAGGGAATGTTTAGGATGCAAGTAAACGAATATCGTTGTTTTGGGTTGGGACTTGGGATTTGAATAAAATGTTTGAAACCTGGGTTCTTTGGCCTATAATATGCAGTTTCATGAGTTAATTTGGTTTTGATTTAGAGATAGTAATAGTTGCCAAGTGAAGTAAAGGATCCTTGACATCTTTGTTTGCCAAGTTGTTTTTTCTGTTTTGGCTGCCAAGTAAAGATAACTTTACACTTGGAGTAGACATTTGTTTTGCTTCTGTTGGCGGTATAATTTGTCTAGATTGTGTTTGTGACCATGTAATGCTGAAATAGAATTAGCTGACTTAGAAATGCTTAGCCTAATAGAGCTAGCTTTATCTGCTTTTCATCCATTTATTAGGTTTTGAAGTTTCGCGTATTTTGCTGATGTTACAATTATTTTTTCTTTGGAAAAAAGAAACAAAATCATACATATTGGCGAATAGTCGAATACGAGGAGGGTTGTATCTGATTTAATGCCGATTCTGGCTCAACCCTAAAATACTAGGGGTTATCATGAAAACTGAAAGACTGAACTTAACTGATAAAAGATCAAACCTAAAATTTCGGTTAATCGAATCAATTGGTTCCATATTTTTGAAAAATCAAAAGTATCAATTCTGTCTCAGTTAACCAATATATATATGTATATGTATATTATATATATTTATAATATATAATATATTATTTTTTATTTATAATATATATTTTATATGTATTTCTAGTTTTTATTATACATTTATATATTTATTTATAATATATAATAAAAATAAAAAATTGAAAAACCAAACTGATAGTTAACAAAACCAATCAACCAATTAATTAATTGGTTTCAATTTGGTTTTGTTACCGATTTTTTAAAAATCAGTACTATTAATTCAATTTGGAAAATAGGCCCACAGATTTTTTTTTTGCAAATGAAAGAGATCTTCATTAACTGATTGTAGAAAGGGTTACATGAGAGGATCGTCTATAGCCATATTGGATAAGTTACTGCCCCATGCATGACATGTAAGCAAAAAGATGGGCAATTTGGTTGTGCTGTCTATTAATATGTACAAATTTTATAGACAAAAAGTCAGATCTAGCATGCCTTAGACTGCAGCAATGTAGTTGATCCACCCAATGCTTTGCCGGTCTATCTGTATTTACAAGATCTATTAGGTCTGCATTATCACAAAAGACTAGAAGATGCCTTATGTTGTTCGAGCTTGCGGCTTTGAGGCCCATTAAAAGGGCTCGTATTTCAGCATCATAACTGTTGATGGGCCAGTAGGGGCCTCCTGCTGCAATTTGGAATCCTTCAGTGGTGTTCTTGATGATGAATCCTTGTCCTGCACTTCCTGTAACTGGATTAAAAGAGCCATCAATAAACATGGAGGGGATTGATGAGTTGAGTGATGGTGCATGATGAGGGGAGATGTGAGATTGTGATCTGATGCAAGATGAATCATCTTGTAAACAGAGCTGTAGAGCCTTTTGCACTACCATTAGTGGTTCAGTAGTGGTGCTCTCGATGAGTAACTTGTTGTGTGCTTTCCAAATGTAGTAGGTGATCAAACTAAACTTGCTTAGACATGATGAGGCTTGTTCTTTACCAAACTGATTTTTCATTGCAATGTACCAATCTGATATGATGATGTGATCCGGTTGGGTTGTAAGTGAGCCGGAGTCGAATCCAATTTGAGAGCTCCACCAGACCGCTCTAGCACAGTGACATTGAAAGAATAAGTGAAAGACTGCCTCTTCTCTTTCCTTGCAGAAACTATAGAGATGGTCTGAGCTTCTCAACCACTTATAGCATTTATCCTTCATGAGTAGTCCATCCCATAATAGTTTCCAAAGAAATAATTGGAAGCGATAGGGAACCTTGAGTTTCCATAATATTTTCCAATCGAAAAGAGTGGTTGACGCAGCGTGGAAGCAATGAGAACCGGAGCTGGCTATGCAAGCACCGGGCGTTCGCTAGCACCTAGCGAATAACACGATTTCTCTAGGAGAGAGAAAAKGTGGCGAAAATAGGAAGAAGAGAACTTGAAGAAATTCTGAAATCTGAAGTATGAAATTGATTAATAATTATGGAAAATAACAGTATTTATAATACATTGAGAAATTGTAAAAGAACTAGGACAATAAATTAGATTTGATCTAAACATCTCAAACTTGTAGATAGGATCGAACTCTTCTTGACTTGATCTCCCCCGTCCTATCTCCCTTGATCTTATCCATGCATGAATCTTGGATTAT